TTTTTTTGCTTATTTGTTGGCCTTTTTTAAACTTTATTATATCGGACAGCTGACGAAAGACAGGAAGTGTTGGGAGGAGAGAGAGCGGGGGTGACATGCAGCAAAGGGCCGAGATCAGATTCGAACCCACGAGGACTGTATCCTCCGTGCATGAGGCGTAGCACATAACCGGTAGTCCATTGGGCCCCCTGTTTTTAACATGTTCGAGTTTTTAAACACCTCAGAGTGGATTTAGAACAAGAAAGTTCACAGACATGTTTTGAGGAGCTCTGAGACTTATTTACTCTGAAGAGGAGGAGAATATATCACCTTTAACACTAGAATGCACAAAAACTCACAATAATTAAAAAAAACTTTTAATGGCTCTAACATTTTGCTGCCTTGCTGTTGTGCTAAAACATTTTTTTACTAAACTCCTGCCAAGATGATGTGACTCTGAAGTAATGTCAGAAGTGTGCTTGTCAGTTGGAAATATATGTATGGTATGTTCCCGTTAATTTAAATCAGAATAAGAATCAGCTTCATTGGCCGTGTTTGCTTATAAAAAAGGAATTTGTCTTTGTTGAACTGTGTTCTCAATGTACAAAAGAAAAACATTAAATATAAACATGAACGTGTTTCCATACATGCAGTTTTCACAGAGGGACATGTGAGGGACCAGAACTGCTTTCTGTGATGGCTCATGTCTCATGAATATCTGGGTGTAATGATCGACCATCTGTTGTCCTGGAACACTTCAGATGAGGGGTTGAGCAGCGTTTTGAAAGGTGAGTGTGTTGTAAGGTTCAGACCTGAGCCTTTTCTCTGAGCTCTCACCCAGCCAGGCGTCTAGCTCCGTACTTCAACTCTAAACTCTAAACTCTAAACTCTGGCCTGGTGGGTTGTTTGAACAGTAATGATTTATCTGAATTTAACATCTCAACGACTTCCTCAGTAAAAAGTTTGGGTGATGAAATAATGATTCAGTGAAAGTGTGGGTGTTACAACATCCACTGGTATGACGGGAATCAAATATATCTGAAATAAAATAAAGCAGCTGAGATCTTTTGGGCGAGTTGACAAATTCTTGTTTTGTTTTTTACTTCTGCACACGTGTATCAGTGTCCTATAGAACTTCTTATTACTATCATGATATGCTTTTAATTTTTAAATGTATTTATGTGTTGCTTTTTCTATGTAGGAAATATATAATTAGCCGGGAGAATAAACTCAAAATAACCCTTTTGGGTAGGATGGCGTGCTCAGGCAACCCGTAGGCTCATACACCTTTATAAGGTAACTTGTGGTCTGCTCCCAACACTTTCTCCACACAGTATTCTCTTTGTTCTCAGGACCTTGTCGTGCTCTCAGTCCCAAATGCTTGGACAGAAATCAGGAGGGTGCTTTTGATTCTGCATCCTCAGCCTGAGTCGAATGCTTACTGACGGCTCTTTTTGACTCATAGATGGTCTTTCTCTCTTTTAATAGAAATGTTGTTTGGTAACTTTGTCCCGGTTTGTGTCAGTAACTTTGTGTTTTTGCTGCTGCCTGTCTCAGCCAGGTCTCCCTGAGAGGTTCTTAATCTCAATGGGACCAACCTGGTTAAATAAAAAATTTAAATAAAAGATTGTTTTAACTTGGTCATTTCTTATCTTACTTTGTCTATTTATGTTTTATATTTATATTTACTTTTTATTTTTATTAATATTATAGTTTTTTTTAAATCCTTTGACCACTTGTTTACTGCTCTTACCTTCTTATTGCTGCTCTCTTTGATCTCTTTTAGTTTCTTACATCTTTTTAAATCTTTGCTCCTCTTGGTCTCAGCTCGTGTTGTTGGGTTCTTGTGATGGTTCTTGTGATGGTTCTTGTGATGGTTCTTATGATGGTTCTTGTGATGGTTCTTGTGATGGTTCTTGTGTTGCCTGGGTTCTTATGATGGTTCTTATGATGGTTCTAGTGATGGTTCTTATGATGGTTCTTATGATGGTTCTTATGATGGTTCTAGTGATGGTTCTTATGATGGTTCTTGTGTTGCCTGGGTTCTTATGATGGTTCTTATGATGGTTCTTATGATGGTTCTTGTGATGGTTCTTATGATGGTTCTTATGATGGTTCTTGTGATGGTTCTTATGATGGTTCTTATGATGGTTCTTGTGATGGTTCTTATGATGGTTCTTGTGATGGTTCTTATGATGGTTCTTGTGTTTCTGGGTTCTTATGATGGTTCTTATGATGGTTCTTGTGATGGTTCTTATGATGGTTCTCATGATGGTTCTTATGATGGTTCTTGTGTTTCCTGGGTTCTTATGATGGTTCTTGTGATGGTTCTTATGATGGTTCTTGTGATGGTTCTTGTGATGGTTCTTGTGTTGCTGGGTTCTTGTGATGGTTCTTGTGATGGTTCTTGTGATGGTTCTAGTGATGGTTCTTATGATGGTTCTTATGATGGTTCTTGTGTTGCCTGGGTTCTTATGATGGTTCTTATGATGGTTCTTATGATGGTTCTTGTGATGGTTCTTATGATGGTTCTTATGATGGTTCTTGTGATGGTTCTTATGATGGTTCATGATGGTTCTTGTGATGGTTCTTATGATGGTTCTTATGATGGTTCTTGTGATGGTTCTTATGATGGTTCTTATGATGGTTCTTGTGATGGTTCTTATGATGGTTCTTGTGATGGTTCTTATGATGGTTCTTGTGTTTCTGGGTTCTTATGATGGTTCTTATGATGGTTCTTATGATGGTTCTTATGATGGTTCTTGTGATGGTTCTTATGATGGTTCTCATGATGGTTCTTATGATGGTTCTTGTGTTTCTGGTTCTTATGATGGTTCTTGTGATGGTTCTTATGATGGTTCTTGTGATGGTTCTTGTGATGGTTCTTGTGTTGCCTGGGTTCTTGTGATGGTTCTTGTGATGGTTCTTGTGATGGTTCTTATGATGGTTCTTGTGATGGTTCTTGTGTTGCTGGTTCTTGTGATGGTTCTTGTGATGGTTCTTATGATGGTTCTTGTGATGGTTCTTGTGATGGTTCTTGTGTTGCCTGGGTTCTTGTGATGGTTCTTGTGATGGTTCTAGTGATGGTTCTTGTGATGGTTCTTGTGATGGTTCTTGTGTTGCCTGGGTTCTTGTGATGGTTCTTATGATGGTTCTTGTGATGGTTCTTGTGATGGTTCTTGTGTTGCCTGGGTTCTTGTGATGGTTCTTGTGATGGTTCTTATGATGGTTCTTGTGATGGTTCTTATGATGGTTCTTGTGATGGTTCTTATGATGGTTCTTATGATGGTTCTTGTGATGGTTCTTATGATGGTTCTTGTGATGGTTCTTATGATGGTTCTTGTGATGGTTCTTGTGATGGTTCTTATGATGGTTCTTATGATGGTTCTTATGATGGTTCTTGTGATGGTTCTTATGATGGTTCTTGTGATGGTTCTTGTGATGGTTCTTGTGATGGTTCTTATGATGGTTCTTGTGATGGTTCTTATGATGGTTCTTATGATGGTTCTTGTGATGGTTCTTGTGATGGTTCTTGTGTTGCCTGGGTTCTTGTGATGGTTCTTATGATGGTTCTTGTGATGGTTCTTGTGATGGTTCTTATGATGGTTCTTGTGATGGTTCTTGTGATGGTTCTTGTGTTGCCTGGGTTCTTGTGATGGTTCTTATGATGGTTCTTGTGATGGTTCTTGTGATGGTTCTTATGATGGTTCTTGTGATGGTTCTTGTGATGGTTCTTGTGATGGTTCTTGTGTTGCCTGGGTTCTTGTGATGGTTCTTATGATGGTTCTTGTGATGGTTCTTGTGATGGTTCTTATGATGGTTCTTGTGATGGTTCTTGTGATGGTTCTTGTGTTGCCTGGGTTCTTGTGATGGTTCTTATGATGGTTCTTGTGATGGTTCTTGTGATGGTTCTTATGATGGTTCTTGTGATGGTTCTTGTGATGGTTCTTGTGTTGCCTGGGTTCTTGTGATGGTTCTTATGATGGTTCTTGTGATGGTTCTTGTGATGGTTCTTATGATGGTTCTTGTGATGGTTCTTGTGATGGTTCTTGTGTTGCCTGGGTTCTTGTGATGGTTCTTATGATGGTTCTTGTGATGGTCGGGTTCTATATGTCTGTTGGGTATCGTGCACTTTGGGTTATTTTCTGTTGAATTGAATTTAATTATTTTTAGTATTTTACATTTGTTATGTTCTTGTTGTTGTTTATGTTCTTCTGTGTTTAGTTTAGTTTGTTCTTGTTCTTGCTGTTTGTCAAAGCACTTTGAGAACCTGTGTTTTTAAAAGGTGCTACATAAATAAAGTTATTATTATTATTATTATAACATCTAAACTATGGACTTTGAGTTACTGTCTGTCTGTTAGTGTTTGTATTCGTGTGTTATAAATAAAGTTAAATTTAATATTTTTATAATAAAGAACGGAAACTTGATTAAACCACATTTATTATTTATTATTTATTATTTATTATTATTATTTTTTTTTATTATTATTTAGATTTTGAGGCACGCAAATACTTCCAGCGCACGCGGCGGATGTGGTCCAATCAGGCGGCGCCAACTGGACGTTGTTCCCGGAATGTTCCGTCTTCGTCCAATCAGAGCAAAGTGCGTGGAAGCACACACGAACTGTCAGGTCTCTCGGCCAATCAAGCGCCGGCATAGTGTGACGTGGCGCCCCACAGCCCGTACAATCAGGAGCGTGCGCTTCTACCGGCGTCTGGACTGAAGCGGCTCATGAGCAGGAAGCTAACGGCTCTCCGTGTTTTCAGCGATTAAAGACAGAAAAAGTTGAATTAAGTTTATTTAATTAAAACAGAAATGTTGTGTTTAAGCGGGCTGTCGGTGGCGCTGGCTCTGGCTCTGGTCCCCGGTCCCTCTGAAGCCCTGAAGGAAGGAGAGTGTGAAGGTAAGCTAACATGCTAACTGGAGCTAACAGGTAACAGATCAGAATGAAAGGTTTCTGTCTTCAGAGTCTTTTTAAATGTTTTTAAATGTTTTAATGGAGAGGAAATGTTCCCACGGAGCCGTGAAGAGGAAGATCATAATGTCTGAAAACCTCTGAAGCAGAGCTAATGATGATGCTAACACACCTGAGTCCAGAAAGATGCTCAGGTAAGAAATCATGAATATAAAGTTAGGTTTTTAAAATGTTCTTAAAGATAATAAATCATTAATATAAAGTTAGGTTTTTAAAATGTTCTTAAAGATAATAAATCATTAATATAAAGTTAGGTTTTTAAAATGTTCTTAAAGATAATAAATCATTAATATAAAGTTAGGTTTTTAAAATGTTCTTAAAGATAATAAATCATTAATATAAAGTTAGGTTTTTAAAATGTTCTTAAAGATAATAAATCATTAATATAAAGTTAGGTTTTTAAAATGTTCTTAAAGATAATAAATCATTAATATAAAGTTAGGTTTTTAAAATGTTCTTAAAGATAATAAATCATGAATATAAAGTTAGGTTTTTAAAATGTTCTTAAAGATAATAAATCATGAATATAAAGTTAGGTTTTTAAAATGTTCTTAAAGATAATAAATCATTAATATAAAGTTAGGTTTTTAAAATGTTCTCTTAAAGATAATAAATCATTAATATAAAGTTAGGTTTTTAAAATGTTCTTAAAGATAATAAATCATTAATATAAAGTTAGGTTTTTAAAATGTTCTTAAAGATAATAAATCATGAATATAAAGTTAGGTTTTTAAAATGTTCTTAAAGATAATAAATCATTAATATAAAGTTAGGTTTTTAAAATGTTCTTAAAGCTAATAAATCATGAATATAAAGTTAGGTTTTTAAAATGTTCTTAAAGATAATAAATCATTAATATAAAGTTAGGTTTTTAAAATGTTCTTAAAGATAATAAATCATTAATATAAAGTTAGGTTTTTAAAATGTTCTTAAAGATAATAAATCATGAATATAAAGTTAGGTTTTTAAAATGTTCGATAAGTTGATGTTTATCGATACATCGAGTTTAAAACGATACAGGCTCCTTATTCCAGAGATGACAGATCGATATTTAATCTATTTTTAATTAATCTTAATTTTTTATTTTTTTAAACTTATTTTTTAGTATCTATCTATTTTTTTGTACATTCTTTATTTTTCTTATTTATTTAAATTGTACTGTGTCTTTGCTCCTTGCTGCTGTAACAATGTAAATTTCCCCGTTGTGGGGTAAATAAAGGATTATCTTATAAGTACCAAAACGTAAATTAACTAATGGACTTAAGATTTAGTTTTTAATTTAAATCTGTTTTCTAGAGAACGGGAGCGTTTCAATAATGTATTTGTGCAATCATAGAAAAAAAACAATCAAGAAAAACTCTAAGGCTGTCTCTACAAAATAATTATAATTCATTTATTTCCACAGAATGATCATGTGGGCTGGGCAATATATCGAGTTTTTAAGATATATTGATATATTTTCAAACAAGATAAAGAGTAAGACAACATCGTTAATATGGATATAGTTTATGTTGCGTTAGGGTAAGGGTTATTTTTGTATTTTTGGACGTGTCACAGAGGGGCTCTGAGGGTCCTCTTTGAAACCCAAACCGTTTCCCTGTATTCTGGGTATTTTAAACGTAAAGAAACAACTTGTGCTTCACACGGTCGTTTAAAAGTCCATGTAGTGGGATGAGGTCATTTCACAAGAAGTGCGTTCGGCTTTACGCCGTAATATCGATGTCCCAGACGGTGAGTTAACATTGCCGTACGATGTTGCAGATGAGATTTACACACACAGTCAGATATGCACACACACACACACACACACACACACACACACACACACACACACACACACACACACACACACACACACACAGAGTCAGATATACACACACACACACACACACACAGAGTCAGATATACACACACACACACACACACACAGAGTCAGATATACACACACACACACACACACACACACACACACAGAGTCAGATATACACACACACACACACACACACACACAGAGTCAGATATACACACACACACACACAGAGTCAGATATACACACACACACACACACCACACACACACACACACACACACACACACAGTCAGATATACACACACACACACAGAGTCAGATATACACACACACACACACACACACACAGAGTCAGATATACACACACACACACACACACACACAGAGTCAGATATACACACACACACACACACAGAGTCAGATATACACACACACACACACACACACACACAGAGTCAGATATGCACACGCGCGCACACACACACACACACACAAGTCAGATATGCACACGCGCACGCGCGCGCACACACACACACACACACAGAGTCAGATATGCACACGCGCACACACACACACACACACACACACACAGAGTCAGATATGCGCACGCGCACACACACACACACACACAGAGTCAGATATGCACACACACACACACACACACACACAGAGTCAGATATGCACACGCGCACACACACACACACAGAGTCAGATATGCACACACACACACACACACACACACAGAGTCAGATATACACACACACACACACACACACACACACACACACACACACACACACACAGAGTCAGATATACACACACACACACACACACACACAGAGTCAGATATGCACACGCGCACACACACACACACAGAGTCAGATATGCACACACACACACACACAGTGCTGATCTCGCCTTTTCCCTGTAACGCCTTTGTTACGACCTCTGAAGACGGCACAGAGGGGGATCACTCCGTCCCCCGTTACACCTCCACGACCTTTATATTAAAGGTGAAAGGTCACGGGGACGTAAACATTGTCTGAATGGGGTGTGATAGATCTGTTCTCTTACAAAATGTCTCTGAATGCTTTTTGTTTTAGTCTGTTGTTGTTTAATCAGAGACTTTGGCAGCTTAACTCTGTGCTGATTACATAACCTGCTTATTAACACAAAAACAAACCAAAGAAACACGATCGCCCCCCGAGTGTTTGGTCTCAGGGAGGACGTCATCGTGTTCGAGTCTGAAGTGGATCAGTGGTTTTTATTTTTGTCTTAAACTGCTTTTCTTCAGACAACATTTGACTCGTCTTTGAGCATGTTGATCAGGATGAACGGTGTGAAGTACTTTAATGTGTTGTTCTCTTCCCCTCAGTGTGTGTGTCCTTCTTGGGGAAGTTTTATCAGTCGCTAACGGACAACAACGTCAAGTTTACCAGCGCAGACATCGAGAACGCCATCGTCAAGACCTGCAAAGATGCTAAAGGCAAAGAAAACCGCTTTGTGAGTAAACAGCAGATTTAAATTCATCAGATAAAAAAAAAAAAATCATTTTAGGTTAATTTATTCATGAAAACACTCGAGCCTGAAGTGTGTAGAGGACGACACCTGATCGTTCTGCTCCCGTTAAAAACCTGAAGATCGATGAACATGAACGCTCGCTCTGACACTCTGTGGAGGTCGCTTCTTCGGGTGCAGCGTTCCTTGAAAGTCCATAAAACAGTCAGATCAGATTCCTTTCTCCCTCTAGTGTTATTACATCGGAGCAACGAGTGACGCGGCCACAAAGATGATCAACGAGGTGTCGAAGCCTCTCAGCTATCACGCTCCCGTGGAGAAGATCTGTGAGAAGCTCAAGAAGAAGGACATGCAGATCTGTGAACTCAAATACGGTAAGAACGAAGTTATAAATCAATGGACTCCTTCTCTCCTTTATGGGGGCGGCTGTGGCTCAGTGGGAGAGTCGGTCGTCTCTCAAACGGGAAGTCAGGGGTACAATCCCCAGCTCCTGCAGCTGCATGTCCGATGTGTCCTTGGGCAAGACACTTAACCCCACGTTGCTCCCTCTGCTTCGTGGGCGGTGTGTGAATGTGTGTGACCTGCGGTGTGAAAGAGCTTTGAGTCGTCAGACGAGAAAATAAATATACAAGATTTACTCCATTTACCATTCTCTCCCTTCTTCTTTTGATCCTCCCTGAGAGAAGCATCCGTTGATCTATAATTTGAACGTCTACTGCAGGGGTGTCCAAAGTGCGGCCCGAGGGCCATTTGTGGCCCTTGAGGGGATTTTTTGCGGCCCGTGACTTCAAATGAAGAATCAGAAGATTTTGGCCCGAGGCCTCGATTAAGATCAGCACATTATCTTCTTCTTCTTTTTCATGTTAACAAGGGGCTGAACAATATTCCTAAAATAGAAAATGTTCAGTAACATGTATGTTGTTGTTTTTTTAAATCTACAGCTTTTACTATTTTCCACATTTTTTTGTAAACTATGAAAAAAAACGTATGCAAAGTTTTTGCAAACAAGCGGACTGTTGTTTAACCATTTAATGACCTGAGCTGAACGAAGAAAGCTTTTCCAAAAACATGAACCACGTTACAGGATCTGAGAAAAAAAACATAAAGTAGAACAAAGAAATCAAAATATTTGATTTCTTTTATTAAAGGGTTTCTTTAGCGAGCCTTTTCATTCTGATCTACAAAGCTTTACTATTTTTTCAACTATATTTAAAAAAACACAAAACCTGTGTCCCGCGAGCGATTCTAACACGACTATTTTGGCCAGCAAGAAAAAAAGTTTGGACACCACTGTGCTCGAGTCTCTGAGAGCACCGACCCCCCGCGGTGCAGTGGCTAAGCGCAGGAGTTTCTTTCTCCTCATATATTTGTGCCGATGTATTGGTGCAAATATTCTTGCTGCACTCGGGGCTATTCAACGAGCGGCCTGCAGGCCAATCCAAAGCGTGCTTGTTGGGACGGAGATGACCTCATTTTGAATGTGTTGTATTGAGCGTTTAGCTTGGAGCTTGCTGTGGAGTCTAGTCGTAAACAAAGGAGGTCATGTTGAGTCCTGACTTTCTGCTCTTGTGCTTCTCACGCAGACAAACAGCTGGACCTGACCACCGTGGACCTGAAGAAGCTCAAGGTGAAGGACCTGAAGAAGATTCTGGAGGAGTGGGGCGAGTCCTGCAAAGGCTGCGCCGAGAAGTCCGACTTTATCCGCAAAATCACAGAGCTGATGCCCAAGTACGCCCCGGCAGCCGCCAAAGCACGGACAGATCTGTAGAACAAAAACACAACTCAGGACTCTGACCAGACTGCTAACCAGGAGGAGGAGGAGGGGCGGGGGGATGTCTTTTGTTATTTGTTCTTTAAGGTGTACACTCATTTGACCATCCTGCACTGATCCAGACGTCGGAGGAATGAACAGCAACAATCACGGATTCACGGTTAACGATGAATTCATCACACAGGAGCATCGGGCGAAGGAGAGCGGCGAGCAGCGGGAGACGACTTTCTCTTTGTTGTCCTTTTACTGTGTTTGTAAGATTCTGACCTTTCAGCCAACTCACTCTGAGCACTTCTCGATGTTAACAATGAGTCTTTAAAGATGATTTCTGTTCCTCCAAACTTTAACGTTACCCACCCTGCCAAATACTGACCATGAAGTCTGTGCCTTTAAATAAAACTCGCACGCTCTTTACCTCAGGGTCGTCACCAAAAAGAATTTAAAACTTTGATATTCTGGTAAAAAAAAAAAACAATATTGAAAACTGTTTCAATACCACGGCAACTAAAACAGAGAACAGTGATTTGAATCGCCAAAAAACTTCACCCAAACTCTCTCTCTCTGTCTCTGTCTCTCTCTGTGTCTCTGTCTCTCTCTCTCTCTCTCTGTCTCTCTGTCTCTCTCTTCTCTCTCTCTGTCTCTCTCTCTCTCTGTCTCTGTCTCTCTCTCTCTCTCTCTCCTCTCTCTGTCTCTCTCTCTCTCTCTCTCTCTGTCTCTCTCTCTCTCTGTCTCTCTCTCTGTCTCTCTGTCTCTCTCTCTCTCTCTCTCTCTCTCTCTCTCTCTCTCTCTCTCTCTCTCTCTCTCTCTCTCTCTCTCTCTGTCTCTCTGTCTCTCTCTCTCTCTCTCTCTCTCTCTGCAGCTTCTGGTTGAAGTTGTATTGTTTTCAAAATGTGGTTTCAGATCGGCTCAAAGTCTTGAACATTTTGATTAACCTCTTTATCAACTTCATTTGAGAACTGGCCACATGTTTCTTACAGAGACGGACATTTTCACCATCTTCAATCTCTGAAGTGACCATATCGGACCGAGAGGATGAACCATGTGTTCTAGTCCTCCAAATCGGTCTAGTCTAAGACTCTAAATCTTAAGCTTTTACTCAGTCTTGTCTCTGTCAGACCGGGGGGGACGAACCAAAGCGTCTCTTCTCTTTCATGGTTTCTTTCCAATCTGTTCTAGTAACTTCTCGTGCGCTAATCTGTCCTTGTTTTGACGAGATGACGTTTGGAAAACGACTCCATGTGTTTTGAAACGATAGTTACGTTAATGATCAGTGGCACTGAAAAAATCTTCAGACATATTTAAACCCAAAGAGAGCGAGCACAACAGTGACTATTCTTCGTGCAATGAAGACAGTGTGCAGGAGTTAGCCTCCAACATCTAGATATTAAAAATAAGGAATTACATTTTGGTTGCCATGGTATCCAACCCGGGTATCTAAACTGTTTGATTTTTTACTTGAATCAAATCAAAGTTTGAAACTCAGTAATGATGATCCTGAGATGTTAAACAAAATGTTTACAGAGGGAATAAATGAAACTGAGAAGAAGCCTCACTTCCTCATAGCCTCCTGTAGACTCTGACTTTGCCCCCCCCCGCTGGTCGTTAGAGAGAATGCAGGTCTGAGGCTGTTCCGCATATGTGTCCAATTTTGATACCAAGAAGATCTGACCTTCTTTATTTCAGTCTGTTGATGTATTAAATCTTATTCTGGAGAACAGACGAGTATAACCATTTGAATCGTTTCTATGTGTTTGAAGGCGCGTACTGCCCCCTGCTGTGTCGGAGTGTTCATGACCTCTCAATGTGCGTTTGTGGCCAACGTTTAATTTTATATCCGAACTATGACGTCACGCTTTCCAAAAGCCTGAGTCGGACGAGGAATCATGGGAAATATTAACCGAACCAGTCGAGCTGTTTGCATCATTTCTTTGTTGTTATTATGAGTTCATGTTGAGCGCCTCTTAAAGGTCATTCTGCGGACGAGGAGTCTGAGCAACTTAAGTTCTCTAACACCGAACAGTTCAGCGACCTCCTGCTGTCAACACGGAGACACATTTAGATATTTAATCTGATCCCCTTGTACTTTTCCTTTAGTGTTTCAGTCTGAATGTTTAATCATGATGCTGCTCGCCGTCCACCTGCAGGCGGCTCTGAGGGCACAATGACCCACGCCGCCATCCGGCGGTCGACGGTTTGAATCGACTAATAAGAGCGCCTCCTGTGTCGTGAATTCAGCTGTATTTATGGTTCCTGTGTTTCAGAAGGGATAGATGTTTTATGGTTTGATGTAAGCAGAACTGTAAACGTGACGTCGTGATCATGAACGAGGGCGACGTTTGTTTTTTGGGGAATGAAAACTTAAAATGTGCTGTTGTTTCACGGGCGTTTGTTACAGCTGTACTATTCTACTTTTTCATTAAAACGTAAAAACTCAAACCGAGTCTGAAACTTGATTTAGAGTGACATTAACAACGTTTAGATCGGGAGGACGAGAAGGTGACAGCTGGATGATGCTGGTTTGAACCAACCGGAGGATTCTCCTCACACGGTGATGTGATTGGCTCGTTGCATGCAAGCTCACCCTGATTGGTTGTTTGATTCAGATCTGATATACTAAGCAGGGGTCACATACACTGTAAATATGAAACCTGAGCAGACGTAGCACTGAGGGAATGCTACTTTCAAAATCATGCTAGTTTTCAAAATGACCAACCCTGCCTTAAAATCATGATTTAAAAATGATTTAAACACAGATGTGCAGCACGTGGAAGAACACAGACTTCACTTTTAGGCCCCCGAGATAATTAAAGATATTTAAGTGATATTTATATTAAGAACGAGAAGCTCTGACTTTGTTTCAGGACTAAAATGTAAACTGTTCAAGTTCTAAAGTCTAAAGTGTAAAAGTTAACGCAATAAATACAATCTCAGCAGCTTCATCTCAGCACGCTGCTGAAGGGACTTTATTTAATTTAATGTTTATTTACATAATAAATATAGAAAAACATGTTTAACTGAAATAAAATGGTAAAGCTTAAAATTTAAAATGTACAGAAAACAACGGTGAGCAATAAAAACAGATTATGTTTTAAAATACCATTAACAGACAACCAAGTTATCTTCTAAGGATCTTCATCTCAATGCTATCGTACTGTTTGTTTACAGATAATTATGTTTTATATTAGTGAAATTATCCTTTGCCTTATTATTTATTATATTTACAGCATTACGTTTTATTTTTCATGTTCCATTTAAATTTTTAATTAAATCCTGCCAGAAGTTTGTTTTACTTCACTTCATATTATTTTAAATAAAATACTTTTAGACAAATAAAGGATAAATTATTATTATCATTATTATCATTATTATTATCATTATTGTTATTATTATCATTATTGTTATTATTATTATTATCATGATTATTATTATTATCATTATTATTATTATTATCATCATTATTATCATTATTATTATCATGATTATTATTATTATTATCATTATTATTATTATCATTATTATCATTATTATTATCATTATTATTATTATTATTATCATTATTATTATTATCATGATTATTATCATTATTAGATCATTATTATTATTATCATTATTATTATTATTATCATTATTATTATTATCATTATTATCATTATTATTATTATTATTATCATTATTATCATTATTATTATTATCATTATTATTATTATTATCATTATTATCATTATTATTATTATTATTATCATTATTATTATTATCATTATTATTATTATTATTATCATTATTATCATTATTATTATTATTATTATTATCATTATTATTATCATTATTATCATGATTATTATCATTATTATATCATTATTATCATTATTATCATTATTATCATTATTATTATTATTATCATTATTATCATGATTATTATCATTATTATATCATGATTATTATTATTATGATGTCCTTCATGTTTTTGGTCAGTTTGCCCTAAAATCCAGCGTGACGTCATGACGTTCGGCAAAGAAGCGTCATCCCAAGCCCCGCCTTCCAAAGGGAAAGCGCACATTCCTATTGTCCAAGATGGCGGCGTTTGTGCAGCTTCTCTGATGCTGTCATGTTCTTAATCGATTTAATGCTTTTATTTCGATATTTATATAATTATTCAGCCCGCAGTGACAGCGTCTCTTCGCCGTAGCCGTCGCCTGCCTCGCTGTTTTGGCTAACGCCGCCGGAAGTCGCTCCTCAGGCCGGATTCCCGCTGCAGCCTCCGAAAAGTTTGAGCTCCATCCTCCGGTGAAGATGAAGAGGCAGGCCGGGAGGGAGAGCAGTCCGTCCAGGGCCGCTGCCAAACGGATACGAGAGCGGGAGCGGAGAGAGGAGCTGCCCCCCCCCGCCGCCCCCCCTGGCTCTGCTGCTGGCGGAGAGCCGCGGATATCACCGCCGGAGCCGCAGCAGGGAGCGAGAGAAGCCGCGGCTCCGGGAGGAGCGAGCGGCCGCCCTGGAGCTCCACCACCGACACGAGCTCAGCCTCCTCGGTCGACCCCCCCTCCGGACCACCGCTGCTGCGGAGCTCCCCGCCGCCCGCCCGGGGACTCTGGAGTACAAAACGCTGCTCATCAGTAACCTGGCCTCCCAGGTGTCGGACGAGGACGTGGAGGACGCCCTGTTTCACGAGTTCAAGAAGTTCGGGGACGTCAGCGTGAAGCTGTCTCACACCCCGGAGCTCGGCCGGATCGCTTACGTCAATTTCCGGCATCCGGAGGACGCCAAGGAGGCTCGGCACGCCAAATCCTCCAGGTTAGTTCTGGGTGAACGACAGCTGAAGATTGAACCCATGTACGTGAGGAGGCGGAGTGTGACGCCCCCGGACGCCGGGTACCTGCCTCTGCACGCCCCCTACCCCTACAGACAGCGCTCCCTGTCCCCCCCGGGACCTGCGGTGAGCAGCATCCGGGACCTGAGAGCCCGACACTACGCCCTGGAGACCCTGACCCTGAGTCGGGAGAGGGAGAGGCTGCTGGATTATTACGGGATGCTGGATGAGAGGGGTCGACCCTACGGTCTGCCCCCCATGCCGGTGGTGGAGGATTTAAAACCCGAGGATGACCAGAGAGCGACCAGCAACCTTTTCATAGGAAACCTGGACGGTAACGTGACCGAGGCTGAACTGAGGAGGGGGTTTGATAAGTACGGCATCATTGAGGACGTGGTCATTAAACGTCCAGCTCGTGGTCAGGGGGGGGCGTATGCTTTTGTGAAGTTTCAGAACCTGGACATGGCCCACCGGGCTAAAGTCGCCATGCAGGGGCGTCTGATCGGCGGTAACCCGATAAAGATCGGTTACGGCAAAGCTAACCCCACCACGCGGCTCTGGGTGGGCGGTCTGGGACCCGGGAACTCCCTCGCTGCCCTCGCTCGGGAGTTTGACCGTTTTGGAAGTATCCGTAACATCGACTACGTGAAGGGGGACAACTTCGCCTACATCCAGTACGAGAGCTTGGACGCCGCTCAGGCCGCCTGCAGTCAGATGAGGGGTTTCCCACTGGGGGGTCCAGAGAGACGTCTCAGGGTGGACTTTGCTAAAGTTGAGGAAAGCCCCTCCCGGTCTTTTCCTCCTCCTGTCGCCGCCCCCTCACACTACGACCTCCTCGGGGAAACCTACAGCCGCCACCGCAGCCTGGAGAGGGAGCTGAGGGGAGGGGCCAGAGAGCGCTCCCCTCCCCCCCCCCACAGCCTCCTCTCTCAGAGGGAGCGAGACAGAGCCCTGCTGGAGAGAGACTTTCCCACCAGCCCCACCCGCAGCCTGGAGAGGAGGGGGGCGGGGGGAGTGGAGGCGTTCGGGCGGAGCACAAGAGGAGCGAGGAGCCGCAGTAAGAGCCGGGAGCGATGGCTGAAGGAGAGGGAGGAGAAGAGGAGCCGGAGGAGGAGCCGGAGTCTGTCGCCCGAGAAGCAGACAGACGAGAGAGAGAGGGAGAAGGAGAGGGGGCGGTCCAGGGTCCGAGGTCCGGGAAGGGCCGTCTCTCCTGACGCCAGCCCCGACCGAGCGCGTGTCAGAGCGCCTGACTCCACCACAGAGCCCAGAGACCACTCCCCCGACAGCGGCGCCGGAGGGCGACACTCCACCAACGAAGAAGACCTCCCATCGGGGCGCCACCACAGCAAGCGGACGTCCAGCGAGCATCTGAACAATCACCACCATCGTAACAGCGAGAGTGCCGCCGCCGCCGCCGGCTCGCCCGCCGTCATCACAGACACACACACCTCGTCGTCCCCCAGCACGCTGTCGGAGTACGCAGCGGCGGCGCTCTCTAAAATATGGCACGGCTTCTTCGCCTTAAAGAACAGCAGCTTCCCCACTGACCTGTACCTGCTGGAGGGCGGGGCGGCGTTCTTCAACTCGGTGATGAAGGAGACCCTGAAGCTGCAGAGTCAGAACCAGCCGGGCCAGCTGAAGATCGTCCAGCGGCTCCGCATGGACCAGACGCGCCTGGACGAGGTCGTGCGCCGCATCAAACTCGGACGACCCGACGGATTCGCCATTCTGCTCGCTCTGCAGGGCCCGATCGACCGCCAGGCCGCCTCTGAGCCGGGGCTGCAGGCACGCCTGCTTCGCCATCTTGTGACTTACCTGCGGAACAAGGAAGCAGCCGGTGTGGTGAGCCTGCCCGCTGCTAAAGAGGGGGGGCCGGGCGCCATGCTGTACGCCTTCCCCCCGGGCGTGTTCTCACAACAGTACCTGCAGGCCGCCAAGAGGACTGTGGGTAATATAGACGAGGAGCACATGGTGATTGTGATCGTTAATGACACTAACTGAACATGATGTTCACACATGTACAGACAGAAACACACACACACACACACACAGACACACACACACACACACACACACACACACACACACACACACACACACACACACACACACACACACACACACACACCAGACACACAGACACACGGCGAGCTGACAGGACGCTCGCCGTGACTACAGAAACTTCCATGTTTTTATTGTTTTATTAAGAATGTTATGAATGAAACACTAAATCTCTCTTTTACTCTAATTCGACTTCACGTCTCCGTCGCTGATGTTCAGTCCGATCTCGTTTAAAGAGCGTGCACAACGGCGTTGGAAAAGGTTACTCTGTCGTTTTGAACTTTTACGTATTTTAGGATCTGAACGACTTCATGGTACAAAAAGTTTAGGAAATGCTCCTTTAGATTGAGAGAGAGAGAGAGGGAGAGAGAGAGAGAGACGGTGTCACGTCTGTTAGCTGGAGAAATCTCAACTCTAAACTCTTTGCACTTTTCAAGTCGTCAAAATGTTTTAAAACGAAACACTGTTATTTTAAACATCGCTCGTTTCTAAGAGTGCCGGAGCTTTAAGAAAAACAAAAACTACATTTCTACGTTTTTTTTTCTGGGCGCCAGCTTCTTTTTCAAATAGTTTTTAATGAGTAGAGAGCGTTTTCAGCAGCAGGCGGCCGCCCGGAGGAAGAGCGCAGCGCCCAGCTTCGATTTCAAATATTTTCAGAAAGGCGATGTTCACGTCACCGCCGCTCTTTTCCTCATGTTTGATATTCCCCGTTGTTTAAACTCCAAATATGAAACATGCAGACTGTTGTCATGGAGACGGGACGTGCAGCGCTTTATTCTCAGCATAAACGCTTCATGAAAACACTTTTCTGCCCGGAGAAAACGCCATGTTTACACGGGGCCTACGAGAGTTTCCCTTTAAGTTTAAATCAAGTTTTTTTTAAGAAGCTCGTGACGGAGACGTGAAGAAGTGTTCGTACTCTAAACTGAAACATTCAACACTAAACTCGAGGGGTTTCTATGCTTGTTTACTTTATCTGTGTATTTTCTGGCCTTTTTACCGGAAGTTGTGTAACCTGGTTGTTTTTTTTATACAAAGTGATTGTACTGTAACGGGGACGTCACGGCCTCTCCACGCTGTAGTGACGTGTTTCTGTTTTTTTAAAGCACCAGTAGAGTCCGAGGCGGCTCTCCTCGCCCCCCCGTCCCCGTGACCCTGAACTCGACATCGAGCGAGTCCATGAACTGATCCATTCCAGACTCTTCTGCCGAGCCGGACGGCGTGGAGCGCGTGGGCTCTGTTGTAATGCATGCTGGGAAAGAACAGGTTTCTCTTTGTGCTTCCCTTTCTGCTGAGATCCACGTCCAGCTGTCTGATCGTATCACTGCTTCAGATTTTATATTGTAAAATGACTTTTATCCAGTTTTAATACATCAATCCATCCATCTTTGATCCACCCGCTCGCCTCTTTTTTTTATAGTCTGCCTTTAATGAAGCTTCAGTGTCCGTCATCTTCAGCCCAGACGCCTTTTATTGGAATTCAATGATGTTTTTAATGTTAGTATTGAATCACTTCAAAAGCGTCGTGACTTCTGCTGCATTCAGGTGCTGCTCGTGGTCAAAGTTTCTGAGTTGGGAGGTCGTTCTTCAGTGTGTTCACCTGATTTCAGTTCACCTGTATAATATACAATATGTGAATTAACTAAAGTCAAGCCGGGCACCTTGAGAATTTTATATGTGACCTGAGAGAGAGAGAGAGAGAGAGAGAGAGAGGGGGGGAGAGAGAGAGAGAGAGAGAGATTCAGTCTTTAAGAATGAATGAAATGTGAGTGAACACGTTCATATTGAGTGCAGCAAACCAAACAAAGGAGAAGACCGAGGTGACAGACATCTGCCTCTCTGAAGCAGGTAACAGCTGATGACCCTCCAAGCTCCGCCCACATGGAAACACCAAGCACCTGAAAGAGCAGACAGGCAGAGAAAGGAGTGAAGAGGAGGGGTCCTCACCATGTTTAAAAAGGATTCTGACGGTTTACAAATTACATTTCACACTTGAATATCAAATATTGTGTTTGTCTGACACATCAACAACCTTTTTAAACATGCTGCCCAGATGACGTCATGATGGTTATCAAAGTGTCATATGATGAATACTACACGTCGTGTTAGATGAAGGCTGTCAAAACGAAGTGTCATGGCTGTGAGAGAGTCAAATAAAACACCTGATGATGTTGTCCATTAAGTCCGTAGGGCTTAGGGTTTAGGGCTTAGGGCTTAGGGTTTAGGGTTTAGGGTTTAGGGAGGAAATCGAGATTCAGCCACTAACTCAAGAACCGCATCCCTTCGAGAGAAACGGGAAAGTCCGAGCGGGCCATGAACGCAACAAACTCCAGAAAGATAACGATGCGTTCAAGTGTCAAAGTCCAGCGTGCAGCGGTGTGTGCTGTGAGTTAGTGTGTGTTAGAAGCTCACAGTGAGTGTGTGTGTGTGTGTTGATGAACATGGAGGAACAGAAGAAGAAGAAGATTCTGTGTGTGGGTCTGGTGTGTCTCGACATCATCAACGTGGTGGACAAATACCCCGAAGAAGACACTGACAGCAGGTTAGCATACAGGCTAATGCTAACTCTCGGGGCAGTCAGTCAGAGCGGTGTTGTTGTTGTTGTTTGTTTTCTTCCACTGAATAATAAACAGTACTTTTCTACCGGGCAGATACAATCAGTTATTTATTATCTTCCATTGTCACTGTCTTTTTAAATGTTTTCTCTTTATGTTCGATCTTTTAAACATGACTGGACCTGTGCTCAGGACTCCCGAGGCCGGTGTACCGGTGTAACTTGCGACCCTGTTAACTGGTGACTCTGTCGTCTGCGGTTGCCGTGGTTACAGCATTGAAAACGGAGAAAGGATAAATAGCTTGCCTGAGATAACCTCTAAATTATCCACCTGAAGTATGAAAGAGACGCAAACTGTGTGTTCCTCTTCAGCTGCTGTAACTACGACAAACACTGACGCACTCGGCGGAAGGTCATCAGTTAACATGGTAACTCTTTAAACCGCAACACCTGCCTCAGTCCAAGAACATGCAGAGCAGGTTACAAGGATGTAGTATGAGAAAACATGTGCAGACAATAAGAGCATAAATGGTGGACGTTTAAAGAGTTGTTAATAAAATGTTAACTAAGTAAATAATAAATGAGGAAGTATAAAGATGAATAAAAAAGTAAATAATTAAGGATATGAAAGACATAAAAAATATGCCATATTCTTAAGAGTTTAAATATTTTTTCACCTTTATTTCTGAGTGTTTACAAAGTCACACTACATTAAAGTCTTGGTTTAAGGAGGAGAACAAGCCGTTTAGCGCCCCCTGCAGACTCATCCTGGGATTACCCCACCACACGTTTACCTCATGATCTGAAACTTTGCCCACGTTTAGTTTGGACATGCAGCATTGTAGCACTGTATGTGAGTTTAAACATAGGGATCAGCAGAATAGGTCGACTTTAAAGTCTTTGCTCCCTGCAGGTGTTTGTCTCAGCGTTGGCAGCGAGGAGGAAACGCCTCCAACTCGTGCACGGTGCTGTCACTGCTCGGAGCGCCCTGCGCCTTCATGGGCTCTGTGTCTGCTGGACCCGTGGCCGAGTGAGTACCCATACATCAAAACATTTATCAACAATGAATAAGTGATGTTTAAATTGACATTAAGATGATTTAAAGGGGACATATTATGAAGAATCCACTTTGTGTTTCTGAACATATATGTGTGTAACCTGAGAGTCTACAGACCCACAACATGTGAAATAAACCATCCAGTCCTTTGTTTGTGGTCTTACAACACAGAGAAAAATGCTCTGTTTCAAATGTGCTCTCCTTGTGATGTCACAGTGGGATTCTGGTAAAAAACAAAATCCCCTCCCCTCCCCTGGTATCTCCTCCCATGGACTCCACCCCCAGCCTAGAACAAAACTTTTACACAGGTCCTCCAGGTCAGCAGAGGAATGTAAACTGTTTCCTGTCTGTAGTTTTATTTTGGAGGATTTTCAGAAGTTCCACATCGACGTGTCTCTGGTGTCTGAGCACGCTCAGTGCGTCCTGCCAGCCTCCATGGTCATCAGCAATATCAGCACAGGAAGCCGCACCATCCTGCACATGAACAGGTGTGACCAGGTGTGTGTGTGTGTGTGTGTGTGTGTGTGTGTGTGTGTGTGTGTGTGTGTGTGTGTGTGTGTGTGTGTGTCACTAACAGTCTCTCTTTCAGGATCGTCCTCAGTGAGCCGCTCTGCCTCTCTCTTCTCCACCAATCAGGAGACAGTCTTCTGTGAGTCTGTAGTTTTATTTTGGAGGGGAGAGTTGATATAAAGCGGTTTCCTGTTTCTCTCTCTCCCCGTTAGTTTCATCATGGGCGACTTCTCTCAGCGCCACATCGACGTCTCGGCCGTGGTTTGGCAGGTCAACGGTCAAACGCCGTGTGCGTGTTGTGTGGTTTGTCCGTCCAGCGGGTCTCGAACAGTCGTTCTGTCCGACATGTAAGACGACCGGACGACGACGGATCCTAAACAACGTTCACTAAACACCGCTTTTTTTAAATTTAGTCATCCATTCACCTAGAGGCTACCTCATTGGCTTCTTCTGTTTCTAAGTACTGCCCCTGTTGCCTAGCAACCATAATAGCTACACCAGAGCTAGCTAACATAGCTAACGTTACATAATTTATCTTATAATTTTTTCATTTGATTGAGACTGAATACTTACGTTTAAAACGGCATCACCCGATCCTTTTAGTTTAAGCCCCACCCCCTGTTATCATGCTGCATTCATGTGCCCTCGGTGGTCCCAGTTTCCGAGTTGAGAAGTCGTTCATGTGCAGCAAAAAACAACGTAGACGCTACGAAGAACATGCGAGTTATATTTGATCAAAAAGTTGACGTGCAGTTTGTGAATCAGTAAAACATCTTTTGCCGCCATGTGATGACGATTATGACGTCAAGTCAACAAGTCGGGCATCTCATTCTTTCCAGAGTTCCAGATTTGTCACTCCGACTTGAGCAGGCGTTCATGAACATTTTACATCTCGGAGACTCGTCTCTCTGATATGTCCGACACCACATGAATGCAGCATTAACTCCACACTCTTAATATAAGCCACGCCCTCCCCATATAGGCCCCACCTTTTCTGGTATAAGCTCCACCCATTGAACGATTGTACAGAGGTGTTTAGTGAACGCTGTTTGACCTCCCTGAAGGAAGCATGAACACCTGATCCTGATCCTGATCCTGATCCTGATCCTGATCCTGATCCCACTCACTGCAGAGTTAATCTTAGTCCGAGATCCACCAATCAGATTGAGCGGAGGTCAGCTGACTGTCGAGGATAGAAGACGATTTTTCACAACAAAGAATTCAAAAACATTATTATATATTCTCTTTTTAATGTAAAATACGAGGCAGATTCCTCTTTGAGCAGTTTTCACGTCTCTCCTGAGTTCAGTTTCCGTCTCTGCAGTGGTTCATTAATTTTGGTTAATTCTCTTTAATCTTTTTAATTTCTGGGATGTTTCACGACGCTCGCGCTTCCTGTGATTTAACGTTTTTAATCTTTTGTTTGTGAAGATTTCTCTCAGAATAATAATCAGCTTCAGATCCGACCTCCGTCCTCTCACAGAGACTGAAGAGGGAATAAAAACAACTTTAATTTAACTATCAAAAGCTTCATATAAATATAGATCATCTTCAATATCTCCTTTAGATGAAGGAAGATTATTTAGTCATTTGTTGATTTGGAAGTGAAATCTTCAAACTGAAATGGATTGAAAGTGAAAATGTTGAAGTCTGTGAATGTTTGATCATTTTAATCTGTTAATTTAAATAAAGATTTCTACAGTTTATCATTTTTGCTTTAGATTTTGTCGCCTTATTTACAAATCTGAACATGGTTAAGAGAAACGTTGATTTAAAGGTGGAGTCAGTAGAATTGTTTGTAAACATTCAAACTGGCCCCTCCTACTGGGCTCATCGCCCCCAGAAGCCCCGCCCCCTGCAGGACGTAGTGTGTACGTTTACTGCTTGTACCTACACTGCAAGCTAACGCACGCTAGCACAAGCTAACCGCCAGTGTTTGTCACCTTCCTGTCCAACAGGAAGTAAACCAACTCCACGTCCACGGGTAAAAGACAACACAAGGTTCACCCTCGTTTTAGAATGATCTTTATCCACTTGGTGTTTCTCCTCACTCTCATTATATTTTCTCTTCTTTGCTGCTACGTCCACGTCCGTCATATTCACTCCTAAACTCACCTGCTGCGCTGTCATTGGCTGGAGGAAACACACCAGCTCCGCCCAGAAGCGTCCCGAGTCAACCGTCACAAAGCAGAACAGTAAAATCCAGTCAGAGGACAGAGTCTCTGCAGACACAGTCACCACCACACATGTACGGAGGCCCTGAAGGGACAATGGAGCAGCTTCACTTTAGGAGAAGTCTGTCTTTTATTTTGAAGGAGAAAGCTGTATTTTATTTTGAAGGAACAAGCTGCTGACTCCATCTTCAAATGAAACGTTTTAAATAAAGTCCTAACAGACACATTTCTAAGTTATTATTTTACGATGTTTTAATTCCTTTAATTTCTTTCCTTCATTTTTTTGTTGAACAGAAGAAACTCCTCCTCTCTCTGTGACGCCAGCTTAAGTTTCACATGTTTGTAAATGAACGTGTTAAAGTCTGGTTTTACATCAAACAGTCGTCAGGTCTTTGTTATCCCTCTCAGCCTGATGATGTCACTGTGATGTCACTGTGATGTCACTGTGATGTCACTGATGTCACTGATGTCATTGTGTTGTCACTGTGATGTCACTGTGGTGTCACTGTGGTGTCACTGTGTTGTCACTGTGATGTCACTGTGATGTCACTGTGATGTCACTGTGATGTCACTGTGGTGTCACTGTGATGTCACTGTGATGTCACTGTGTTGTCACTGTGATGTCACTGTGGTGTCACTGTGGTGTCACTGTGGTGTCACTGTGATGTCACTGTGATGTCACTGTTGTCACTGTGGTGTCACTGTGGTGTCACTGTGGTGTCACTGTGATGTCACTGTGATGTCACTGTGATGTCACTGATGTCACTGTGGTGTCACTGTGGTGTCACTGTGGTGTCACTGTGTGTCACTGTGATGTCACTGTGATGTCACTGATGTCACTGTTGTCACTGTGTGTCACTGTGGTGTCACTGTGGTGTCACTGTGATGTCACTGTGTTGTCACTGTGGTGTCACTGTGATGTCACTGTGGTGTCACTGTGGTGTCACTGTGATGTCACTGTGATGTCACTGATGTCACTGTGGTGTCACTGTGAGGTCACTGTGGTGTCACTGTGATGTCACTGTGATGTCACTGATGTCACTGTGGTGTCACTGTGGTGTCACTGTGTTGTCACTGTGGTGTCACTGTGTTGTCACTGTGGTGTCACTGTGGTGTCACTGTGGTGTCACTGTGGTGTCACTGTGATGTCACTGGTGTCACTGTGGTGTCACTGTGGTGTCACTGTGATGTCACTGTGAGGTCACTGTGATGTCACTGTGATGTCACTGTGAGGTCATGAGGACGGGTGGCTCAGTACCTTTCACAGAGTGCTGGAGGTGTTTCTGTTTTCTGTTTGTCTTCTTGTGTTGATTCTTTTGAACATGAACTCTGACCTCTGACCTCACTAACTGTCCATCAGGAACCTTCCGGATGCCACAGCGGATGATTTCTCCAAAGTCGACCTCCAACAGTTCAAGTGGATCCACTGGGAGGTGAGCTACAACCCAAACTCATCCAGTTTGAATTCATTGACTTTAGCAAACGGTTACCTCAGGAGCGAGAGAAAACCCGTCATTTCAGAGTCGATCTATTAGAACAATAACCTCCAACAGGGAGGATGGCGTCTCTCTCATGGCGTCCACAGAGCGCCCCGCTCGTCTGTTTTCAGCACTATGTAACTTTGTCAGCGGGTCGAGGTCGTCTGGTGAGAAGTGTGTACGTCTTTATGACGCTAATTCACACAGCAGCCTTCAGCTACAAAGCAGACAGTTAGAGAGAGAGAGAGAAGCAGAGTGAACATCTCTGCAGATATTATTCAGAACACATTGAGACGTAGCGTTAGCTTGTATCGTTAGCGGTGTCATCGTTGTCTCGTGTTTAGCAGCTTTAGCGGCTGCAGGAAGTCGACTAACTCGAGTTATGTTTCAGGTTTGATACAAAGAAATCAATAAATCCATCTTATAAACCGATCTCAGCTAGCATGTTATAAATGAGCCTCTCCAGTGTAGACGTTTAGCCACGGCCTGTAGTCGTCATGGTAACAGCTGAATACACACACACACACATACTCCACATGCTAACGGTTAGCTAACAACGGCCTGTAGACACTAGCAGAGTCAGATCTAAATCCTGTAATATTTCTGAACCTCGTCAGTCGACATCTTTGTCGACTTCTCTGCCTTCTGACTGTCAACAGGTGCACACTGTCAAAGAGGGGGAGGAGCTAATGTCTCTGTGTTTTTCTACACTGTAGAATCTCACAGAGACCTTCGGAAGGCGCCAAAAGGCATCAAGTCAAATTCCTACAGATTGTTTTTTTAAGGCTTTCAATGTGAACATCTTCTTAGGGGATTCTTAGTCCAGTCTTGAGGAACTCACTTCCACATCGTCCATTTTACGTCATGTCCTGCCACAGTAGGACAGGGATAGTCTCCCGCTGTGAGGGATCAGATCAGGAGGATTTCAGGGGCTTCATCCTGAAATCATCCTGATGTTTTGACTGAAAGCAGCGCAGTATTTATATATATTAGGGTTTATCAGTTTATCATCACATGTTCTCTAAGTCCTTTTTTCCTGTCACACCTTTTTGCCTCCTTCAGGGCAGAAACGCTGAGGAACAGGTGAAGATGATCCAGCAGGTAGTGAAGTATAACAGCACGTTGCCACAGCAACAGAGAATCACCGTCTCCGTGGAAATAGAGAAGACCAGAGAGCCGTTGTATCAGCTGTTTTCTCACGGTGACGTGGTACGAGTCTGGTAAAGTCTTACAGGATGGGGTGTTCCTCTGGTCTCGTCTCTGAGGTTCTCCTCTCCTCCTTCTTGTCTTCTTCAGGTGTTCGTCAGTAAAGACGTCGCTCGACACTTCGGCTTCCTGTCGGCTGAAGATGCTCTGAGAGGTTTCTACAGCCGAGTCAAACAGGGGTTAGAAACCGTCTCTCTCTGACACTAACTGTCTCTAACCTGTCTCTCTCTCTGACCTGTCTCTCTCTCAGACACTTACTGTCTCTGACCGGTCTCTCTTTTAAAACTGTCTCACTTTCTGACGTGTCTGTCTCTGACTGTCTCTCTCTGACCTGTCTGTCTCTCTTTCTCTGACCTGTCTGTCTCTCTGTCTCTAACTCGTTTTTCTCTGACCTGTCTGTCTCTCTGTCTCTGACTCGTCTTTCTCTGACCTGTCTGTCTCTGACATGTCTTTCTCTGTCCTCTCTGTCTCTGACCTGTCTGTCTCTCTGTCTCTGACTTGTCTTTCTCTGACCTGTCTGTCTCTGACATGTCTTTCTCTGTCCTCTCTGTCTCTGACCTGTCTGTCTCTCTTTCTCTGACACGTCTTTCTCTGACCTGTCTGTCTCTGACCTGTCTGTCTCTCTTTCTCTGACCTGTCTATCTCTGACTTGTCTGTCGGTAACCTGTCTGTCTGTCAGGGCTGTCCTGATATGTGCCTGGGCTGAAAAAGGAGCGGATGCTTTGGGTCCTGACGGTGTGCTCGTTCATTCGGATGCTTTTCCTCCTGAGAGTCTCGTCGACACTCTCGGAGCCGGAGACACTTTTAACTCTGCCGTCATCTTCACGCTGTCCAACGGTGAGACTTTATTATCCCATTAAGACACAAACTGCTCTAGAAATAATCGTCCATTTGTGAATCGTCCAAAATATGTTATACCCATTTCAGGCTGGCTCCCATTTAAAACATCTGCTGCATTTCATGAAATTCACCAACAATGTATTCAAATCTTTAGTTCAATATTTATAACTGTTGGCTTCATCTTGTTAAATTTTCCCATTTTATTTTCTTACCTGGCATGCACTTAATTTAATTCTTCACATCATGACCAGACACAAACTGTTTATTCTTGAAAACGGTGTTCCACAAGGTTCAACTTTAGGGCCTTTTCACTTTTCAAAAATGGGTTCCGTTTATAAATTTGGTTGTATGCAGATGAGACAGCTTCACACACACCAGATTCTAATACAACTAAAATTCGAAGCTCTCTGAACTCAAATTCAGAGTCTGTCGGGGCCCTAAGCCAAATGTCATTGGGGGCCCCTCCAACCAGCGTTCATCACCATAATGTCTGCCAGTGTCCCGACCCTAACTCGTCTTTTTCTTTTTTCACTCCCACACGGATAATTCTCGTTATTTTCCTTTGCTGACTTTCATTGACAAACTTTGGTTTTTAGAAGGCATGGAGAGGGAGTGCTATCAGATGGGGCCGCCTTAGGGAGGTTTCCTTCTGTCATTGCTAAATTTTCCCATTTTATTTTCTTACCTGGCATGCACTTAATTTAATTCTTCACATCATGACCAGACACAAACTGTTTATTCTTGAAAACGGTGTTCCACAAGGTTCAACTTTAGGGCCTTTTCACTTTTCAAAAATGGGTTCCGTTTATAAATTTGGTTGTATGCAGATGAGACAGCTTCACACACACCAGATTCTAATACAACTAAAATTCGAAGCTCTCTGAACTCAAATTCAGAGTCTGTCGGGGCCCTAAGCCAAATGTCATTGGGGGCCCCTCCAACCAGCGTTCATCACCATAATGTCTGCCAGTGTCCCGACCCTAACTCGTCTTTTTCTTTTTTCACTCCCACACGGATAATTCTCGTTATTTTCCTTTGCTGACTTTCATTGACAAACTTTGGTTTTTAGAAGGCATGGAGAGGGAGTGCTATCAGATGGGGCCGCCTTAGGGAGGTTTCCTTCTGTCATTGCAAAATTTGCACATTTGAAGCCACTGCTGTTTAATGTTTGTCAGCCCGGTGGCTCCCTACTGGCCTTGGGCCCCAATCAGTGGCTTGCCTTGTTTATTGTCAAGCAGTGCCTCTGCTCAAATTTATTTGAATTTAATTACTGAAATACATTTAAAAAAAATTGGTTTTCAGGTGGAAGTTTGCAGGATGCTCTGACCTTTGGCTGCAGGGTCGCCGGTGCAAAATGTGGATTTCACGGTTACGACGGCATCGCTGCAAAGTTCACAAACGACTGAAGGTTGTTTTTTTTAAGTGGCGAAACCAGAAGGCTGATCGTTTTCTGTTTACTCACACTGTAAAAAAAGGATGAAGGATGCAACGAGTGAAGGTTCACTGTATGCTAATTTACATTGATCTAATATTAAGTCAATGAAGTGACAGTTAACTGTGAGATTGAGTGAATGTACGATGTTAAAGTAATTTATAATTATTGTATGATTTCTTTTTTTTTTACTGGTGAAAAACCGTCAAACTGATGAATAAATAACTGAAGTGAAACATGGAGCTTTTTGTTGATTTATTTATTGATTACATAAAGTTTTAATGTTGATTTAGTTTTTGTTGAAATATTTAAATTGTTTTACTCAAACCTAAGTCTTTTGAGTTTACTAAGGGTGTACTCACAATAGGCAAAGTTTACCAATACCGTGCTGAAACTTGATTGCCCCCTCCCCTCCTCATTCCCCCCTCTGATCTGCACTCACACTGCTTCAGGACTAACCGGGCCTGAGCATGGTTACCTGTTGAACGTAAAGTCGTAAAATAACACATGCATTTACGTGATCCTGAAGCGTGCTCAGTTTACAAGACAGGCGATAAAAATGGACGTTCAGTCGAGACAGTGTCCGCACATCAGAGAACAACTCAGAGAACATGACAGCTGCTTTACTGACTGTCTGAAGTCAGAACACTCCGGGGTTTCTTCTGAATGAAGGCTGTCCACATCATGTGCTTGTGCACTAACTGTACTGTGCTGAAGCACACCTCTTCCAAGTGTGCCAGGGCCAAGGAAGTGTATGGAGCTCTCACATTAGTCAATGAACTGGACTATAGGGTTGAAGTGTGCTTGGGCACGGTACAGATTGCCTAGTGTGAGTGCGCTCTAAGTTTCATTCAAGACCAATAGAAATCAGCCAAGTCTTAATCAGTGAAGTGATTTAGAGACATATTTGTTTTGATTTGTTTGGACCAGAGAAGGTAGACGGTTTTAAGACCCGCACACAGGGCCGTTTTGGACGGCCCTCTGTTTGTCAGATATGAGAGCAGTTATCAGGTCAACAGGTGTTGCAGTGATGGAAGCGGTCAAGAGAAGTGGTTCAGATAGAAGTGATTGTACCCGACCTAAAAAGCCTCTGCATGTTTCTAATAAGCTCCACGAGCAGAAACGTGCTCAAACTAGGATCAATATTGGAGATGCTTTTGAAAAATGGAGAGAGGTTAGAACACAGAAAGGTTTACAGACCCATGCAGAGCTGGATAAACACTGAAGCTTCAGAGTCCACCACATGGTGACCTGCGTGAGCATGGACTCTAGAGAGGAGGGGGGGGGGGGGGTGGAGACAGCTCTCTATGATGTTTAGAATTTAGACTACAGTACCCATTTTAAACACTAGGAGTCAGAGTTACATACTGCTCCTTTAATAATAAACAGGCTGAAAGAGGTGGAAATAACTACATCAGGATGAAGATTTGTACTAATATAAATTCATGTTTTTCCAGGTTTGTCAAGAAGACAACTTTTAAAATGTTTGTTTTTTGAATGGAGTTTGATTTGACCATTTCTGAAACTAAATAAAAAGGAAGGAAAGAATCTTAAAGTGACTGACTTTCAGAACAGGAGCTCGACTTAAAAATCGTAGGATTTAAATTGAGGAACACAAGTTTGTGTCTTTTTGTGTCTTTGTTTGACTTTCCCATAATCATAACTCGGAGTGAGAGAGTTTATTTTGAGTGTTTAAGGATTCCTGTTTCGTCACTCTCTTTATTTACAACATGGAGTCATACAGCAGATATAATTACGCAGCATTGTGTATAATTTCATGGTATATGTGTACTGTTAATAAAATACATATAAATATATATTTAGACACTGTTAGACTCCCCTGTGATCATGTCTCTCAGTCCTTTGGCGAAGTGAAGATTCGCTCCGATCACAATGAAACCCTGCAGAGACAAACACAGCTGTGAACACCAGGGGGCAGCACCAAGTCATCATACATTAAACCTGCTACAAAGCAGGGGGTGATGCAGAGAGTAGGAAGACTTACATTGTGATACTCGACCACCTCCTCGATGAAATCCATCCCATCAGCCAGAGGGATCCGAACTCCTCTCTTTGTGTAGTCTGGCCACAAAACAGCAAATATGGTTACTAAGCGTTTTCACCAACAACACGTCAAAGATTTTAGCGGCCTCCGTCAGTGTCCCAACACTTCACAGCCTTCACTCCTAATGCGTGTGTAGGTACGGCTCACACATTGGGTGGGGCTCTCGTGAGATGGCTAACAGTTAGAGAGGGAGGGGCTCAGGAGTTTATAAACTATAGGAATTTTGAGCTCACATGGAGTCTTTGTATTCCAGTTTCTGACTTGACTTCAAAACAGTCAGCGAGAACACAGCGTCCATATTTCACACCAGAGAGAAACCGGCAGAGTTTTGGGAAACTGACCGAGCTGGAGAGACTTTGAAGTTGGTCACAACTTGTTACCAGAAAGCTTCAGATGACCAACAGCATGTTTTACTGTTACAGTGAAATAAATAGATTCTTACTGTTGATTAACGGAACCACAGACATCTGCATGATCGCCTTCAGAGGAGCCTGCAGAGGAATCAACTGACAGACAGACACACAGACAGACAGACAGACAGACAGACAGGCAGACAGACAGACAGGCAGACAGGCAGACAGGTAGACAGACAGACAGGCAGGCAGACACACAGACAGACAGACAGGCAGGCAGACAGACAGACAGACAGACAGACAGGCAGACAGGCAGACAGACAGGCAGACAGGCAGACAGACAGACAGGCAGGCAGACACACAGACAGACAGACAGGCAGGCAGACAGACAGACAGACAGACAGGCAGACAGACAGGCAGACAGACAGACAGACAGACAGGCAGGCAGGCAGACAGACAGGCAGGCAGACAGACAGACAGGCAGACAGACAGACAGACAGACAGACAGGCAGGCAGGCAGACAGACAGACAGACAGACAGACAGACAGACAGACAGACAGACACACAGACAGACAGGCAGGCAGACAGACAGACAGACAGACACACAGACAGACACACAGACAGACAGACAGACAGGCAGGCAGGCAGACAGACAGACAGGCAGACAGACAGACAGACAGACAGACAGGCAGACACACAGACAGACAGGCAGACAGACAGACAGACAGACAGACAGACAGACAGACAGACAGACAGATTAATATTTATTAATGATGAAATGTTCTGATTTAGTTTTTAATCTTTGTTATAAAATAAAGAAACTCAGAAAGACTCACTGCCAGAGATTCCAGCGCCGACTGATTGGAGTAGATTTTAAACCTGAAAGAAAAAAGCAGATTTAGTGTTTGTGTCCACTGACGGCGGTGTGTATGTGTGTGTGTGTGTGTATTTGAGTGTGTGTATTTACCTGCGAAGGTCAGCGTGGACAGCCAGACGTTTCCCCTTCATGGAAACTTTAGCGTTAAACTTTGCTTCCTGCAGGAGGACAGAGGGGCGGGACCAAAGTCATGAATAATGAAATGTTTGATTGACAGGTTTCAGTTTGAAATCGTGTGTGTGTGTGTGTGTGTGTGTGTGTGTGTGTGTGTGTGTGTGTGTGTGTGTGTGTGTGTGTGTACCATGGTCATGCTGCTGAGCTGAATCGGAGGCTGACCTGGAGGCAGCACCATCACCTTGACGATCGCTGTCATGACGACCGTCGCTCCGGTCGTCTTGATGGTGGTTTTTGGATTCGAGTTGACGGCGAACTGCAGAGAGAGCGGGGCCTCGACCAGCGCTGGGTTCTACCGGGAACGCACAGAAAGTTAAAATCGCTACCGTCGCTACCGTCTACCGTGTGTCTGATGTGTGTCTACTCACCAGCATCATCAAACGTCCAAAGTAGGTGGTCCTCAGCATCATCTCCAGATCTTTAGGCATCTGAAGAACGAGGGGACACACACAGGACGAGCAAAGGTCAGAGGTCAGAGGTCAGAGTCTCTTCTATAGAAAGGTCTCAGGATGAGGAGGAAACCTGGATGT